CGCTTACTCACATTATCAACACCTCTCTTCACACTGGTACATTTCCCACAGCATTTAAGCAGACTCGGGTAAGCCCACTGCTTAAAAACCCCTCTCTAAATCCAGCACTATTAGAAAACTACAGACCGGTATCCCTTCTTCCATTCATTGCAAAGACACTTGAGTGAGTTGTGTTCAACCAACTCTCTATGTTTCTTGCACAGAACAACTTCCTGGACAGCAACCAATCTGGCTTCAAAAATGGCCACTCAACTGAGACTGCCCTGCTCTCGGTTACTGAAGCCCTGAGACTGGCAAGAGCAGCTTCCAAATCCTCAGTACTCATCTTGCTAGATCTGTCTGCTGCTTTTGACACAGTTAACCACCAGATCCTCCTGTCCACACTCATAAAGATGGGCATCTCAGGAACCACACTCCAATGGTTCAAATCTTACCTCTCAGGTAGGTCTTTCAGGGTGTCTTGGAGGGGTGAGGTTTCTAAGTCACAACTTCTTGCTATTGGGGTTCCTCAAGCCTCAGTGCTTGGACCTCTTCTCCATCTACATGTCATCATTAGGATCTGTCATTCAGAAGCATGGCTTTTCTTATCACTGCTTTGCTGATGACACTCAACTCTACTTCTCATTCCTCATTCCTACTTCATTCTCAATCCGACAGTAGCTGGTCACATTTCCACATTGCACACTTATATTAGGAAGATTAGACCCTTCCTATCAGAGCAAGCTGCACAACTCCTTGTCCAAGCTTGTGTTCTCTTCAGACTGGACTATTGTGATGCTCCCTTGGCTGGCCTTCCCGCATGTACTATCAAGCCTCTGCAACTGATCCAGAATGCAGCAGCGAGAGTGGTCTTTAATGAGTTGAAAAAAGCTCACGTTACTCCTCTCTTCATCAGTTTACACTGGCTACCAGTAGCTGCTCGCATCAAATTCAAGGTACTGATGTTTGCCTACAAGACAACAACTGGTGCTGCACCAATATACCTAAACTCACTAGTTCAAACTTATGCGCCCTCCAGAAGCTTGCGTTCTGCGTTCGCCTTGTGGTGCCATCCCAAAGAGGCACAAAATCACTATCACAGACCTTTTCCTGGACTGTGCCCAGCTGGTTGAATGACCTCCCTATCTCAGTTCAAACAGCTGAGTCTTTGGCCATTTTCAAAAAAACGTCAAAGACATCTTTTTCGCCAGCACCTGACATACTAATACTAGCTCTTATCTATTATATTCTATTCCATTCTATTAAAAAAAACCTAGCTATGTGTACTGTGCTAGACTAACTGAGACTTGTCACAGCACTTGTATACTGTTGCTCTCTTGTTCGTCTGATTGCTTCTATTGTTCTCCTCATTTGTAAGTCGCTTTGGATAAAAGCGTCTGCTAAATGATTAAATGTAAATTTAACACAATGTGTACAAAGTTTAATTTGTGTCAAGTATCAAAGACAGCACAGGAAACAATTTAACGCATTTAACCACTTTACTGAGTACTCATCATTACTCAACTTCGAAATGTAACAACATTTCTGTCAATCCATGTGAGCATAATTAAATTTCAGGAAATGCTAGCCAAATATTAATCTGATTGCATGATGATATGATGAAAATGCCGAGCTAATGGTGGATGGATCTGGTTAAGTGTTAGTGGCTCCTCCCTCTCTGCGTTGTTTCTTCATCAGTTACTTTCGACCATAATCAACCAGCAGAAGCAGATCATTGTTATGTAAACCCCTTTCTTATGCTTTTTATGTTTGCAGTCATTGTGCATTGTCTTGGGAATTATTTATCAGATTCAGAATATTAATTTGACTTTGAATGCATTGTGTATGTTACAAACAGATATGCAATGATTTTACTTTGTATAAATAAATGTATTTGTGTTT